TGTGTTTCCTGGGGAGCCGAAATTCCACAAGCGAGTGGGCATTTTGGGTCATTGAGGAGGCATCTGTCTCCACAGGGTAAAGGCCAAAATATGGCCTGAGCACAGGCTGGTGAAAATTTTGAAAGTGATCGATGACTCACAGTATAACAGATTTTGCACGCGCCTTTATTTTGTTGGCTGCTTGTCAAGAGATAAGGCTTGTCGCGACATTTTAGGCGGAAACAAACTCGGAAGCCTGAAACTGCTCAAAACCATGTGACAAAGACCCTTAAGCTGGAAATTCTCCTTTGAAAACCAAGCCACAGAATGCAGGCCATTCTGTCATACATTTCCTGTCTGAGCCCTGCTCCCGTCCGCCGTCGGTGGCCCCTGTCCTGGCCCGGCTGTCTCCAAATGACTGACCGCGAACTGATGGTATGGCTGCTTTGTTGCACATTTCTGGATCAGCATTGCTACTAAATGGGATGTAAAACATGTGCTGGACATCTGCAATAGTACCTTTTTCCGAATTATCTTCCCTTACATCACATCACCCTTGAAAAATGCCGCTGGGAAGCTGCCTACTTTAGGTATGAATTGGCCCACCGGACATTTAATTGCCCGTCATTCAACCAAGATGACTTGAGCTGCTTTTGTGTGTAGGCAGGGGGTAGCTAGAGTCCTGCTAACAGGAACACAGGGTTGCCCCCTTTATGGTGACCCACCCCCATAAAAGATATCCCCGGATGTAGTTTACTTGTTAACAAGGGTTATGGCTTTCTTCGTTTCATTGTTATCTTTACGTTGTAACCAGAACAGAAACCAGAAGCTACCGTGAAATCAATTCTGTTTACTTTTCCAACACGCGCCCTGGTGCTGAAATAGATACCCTTATTACCCCTGATATTATTATATGCCCTCATAACCCTATATACCATTGATATTAAAATAGATAGAAATTAGATTCGGCTAGATATCCTTCGCTCGGGTAGGGGTCAATTTGACCCTCTGGGACCTCGAGGACTAAGAGAGCTAAAAACAAAAAATTCACAGGGTGTGTTGACCTGTACGTGAGCTCACTTAGGTCAAAGTTTGAGGTTCTTAGGTCATGACTGTCGGGTCAAATAAGGTCAAACAAGGTCAAATTCCAGGTTGGTCCTAAAGTGATCCCAGAACCTAGATAACGGTTTCTAAGCAAAAGGTCACATGTTTATTCAAGGTCAGTGACCTTATTTGAACGTTTCAAGGCCATGGTGACCAAAATCATACAAGGCTGCTGTGAGTTTTGTATTTGAATAAGCGATAAAGATTACGCTATGCAGTATGTTTTTAGAAAAAAAAATGTTGAACAAGATCATTTTAGGTCAACGACCTATTCTGACCTCGAAGAAGTACATGGAAGATGTAAAATGCGGCTCCTGCTATCAATAAATTCGAAACGAGCACCAGAAACTGTCCCTTACAGCAAGCCCTAGAGTAACAAAACAGGTTGGTTTTGACCTTGTTCTGACATTTATACCTAGCCTTAGGTCAACATAGATTTGCTCATTCAATATTTGTGTTGCCTAAGAAAGCATCTCAGAGATGCATGGCTTCGTATAACACTCCATTGCTGCATCAGATTTGACAATTATCTAGAAGTTGACTTAGCTGAAACCATGGTCTGACTTTGACCTGCCATAGGTCAGCGACTCTACAAAGTACATCTAATTTTTTTGGCCAAACGATCTGCTATTCAATTGTTGACAGTTATGCAAAACAAAGCGCGGCTGCACCGTGCCGTTTGGAAACCATTCTGGAAAAACCTTCCCGGCGAGTCAATTTGGCTCCCTACCCGAGCGCGTGTTAAGGTCACTAACCTGCAGAAATCAGGCGTTTAACGACCGCATGGAATACATCACCGGTGTCCTTAATTTGCAACGGCTAAGTGGATTCTTTCTAAACGGATAGAGTTTAGAAGCTTTTGATAATGTTTTATCTCCGTTCTACAGACACTGAGGACATCGCGAAGGTAGATTGTAGATCGATGTGTTTGATCGAAATTTAAGGGTGAAAATTTTGATTATAGATCGAGTGGTCAACAATGTGTATGCAACAATGTCAACAATGTGCTACGAACGCGTGGAAACGCTGTTTTTTGCGGGCCGGTTTACGCATACATATTTCCATGAACCGAAATTCTTTCAGACCTAGCACATTCAATGAAGCATTTTCAGCTGGGAAATGACATTGGTTTGCACCAGAGCTACAAAATTGTTGCTGAAATGAGCTACCAGTCTGCCCCCGACAGAGAGATGGGGTAACCCGTTCACCCATTCGCCAGTGATTTATCCCGGAGAACTCTAGCCGGAAGTGTTTAGAAACAGTCTGTGTAAAAGGGTGCGACATACAACAACAACATAGGGTGGAGATGAGAACGGCGGGCCAGACGGGCTTGCGGCACCCTGGGACGCGCATTAAGGAGTTGGAATGCACATCTTGTAGCTTTAGGAGGGGCCTTGCCAGAATTGGCTTGCCCTGATGGAGGCAGTGAGAGGTTAACCCCGGGAGGCGTGAATGCAGAGCGCGCCATTTCAGTTCAAGGTAGCAATCCTGTGAAATGGGACGATTTCTGGCAAGTTTTGCTATTTCTGTCAGTCAAAGAATGATGACCCATATCTCAGCTGGGAAATAGTCCTGGGGATATATAACGGTAGTCGCGGTACTATTTCCTGCGTTCCTCTTTCCCCTAACCCATCCGACATTATGAATCTGCAAGTAAGCCGACGACTAGCAAGATGGTAGTAGACACATAAATTTTTGGCACCTGCCTTCCTCGCATTACCCTATTTTCACATTTCACTCCATTTCGGTGCTGCAGTACAACGATTAATGGACAGTCATTGCCCATTCATAACTTTAATGTGAACATTACATACCATATCAATAAATTTACGAATAAATATATATTTCACAAAGAGGCATTGTATTTAAGTGTTTAGGAAAGTTGGCTACGATGAATAAGGTGCGGGCACTAAACCTAGAAAACAGGGTTTAGTAGCATTTATTTTGGGAAGTAGATCGTAGTACTAATTTGTCTTTAGAAGGTTTTGAATGCAAAACGTACGATATCTATTAACATAACATCAAATAAATATAAATAATAGGGTAACTACCCAGTTCATGGGCGAAATCTCCGTTCGTAATCATGTTACTAGTATCTACCAGCCTTCGAGTAGTATAAGCCAAAAACCATACTACAGGCTACCAAATCTTAGTCCCGTTGTGACGTCGCATCTGCGTAGCCTTCTCTAGTAGCCTGGGGCCCACCGGGGGCGACCATCAAGGCCCCGATAGGAGGGCTTAAGGGCATGAAGAGCTGATCAGTTCTTATTCGGAGACTCTAGCCCACGGGGATGGGCCCTTAAATGACGGTCAGAGAGCCCTTTGCGCCGATCAGGGACCCCTGAGTCAATATGAGCGTACATGTCGGCCAGACACCACCATTACCGCACAGTCAGCTCCGTGTCGATGTGCGCCTGGGGACTCACTTTCCAGTCAGCTACAAAGCCGGGGCCAGCGATTTACACTGGTCGGCCCCTGTATCTATCAGGGGCCTTCAGTATATAACAGAGGGTCCTGTGTTCGCAGGGGCCCCGAGTCCATCAATGGTAGTATTCGATGTGTCATAAGAGGGGCGGGGGTGACGGGTGTCGATCGGTATTCTTTTGGGAGGGCCCTGGCCCCCAATGTTGAGTTGGGCCCCCGAATGTCGGCTTTGCCCGCAATGTTTTTGGCTGGAATGCTACAAAACACGTGGTTAAAATGATCATACACAAATAGTTTGATCTTCTTTGATCTTTCTCCGTAGTGGCGTCTCGTACCACTCTCATAACAGAAAGTCATGGTTGCCCTCATCACAAGATGCAAATCGTAACAGCTGATCGGATAAACGATGCAATGAACTTCACATACCTAGCGCCATAAGACAAGCAATGGTTTGTGAGGTTGAAGTGAAATGCTCTGGAATATGGGGATGACCTCAGTCCTTCATGGCTAACATCGTCCCATCTCTCACAACCAAAATGCGTGCCGCTTCCCATGACCGTCATAGAAGAGCGCCATCGGCGCACTAAGGTGGCCTCTAAAGTGGCACCTTCATGTGCCGATCAAAAGAGATGAGTGAGTCCAGTGCCTGCTCCCTGGATCCAACCCTACATGATTTTTATGCTGTTTAAATTAAAGTATGTAATAAATTATACAAAGATTAAAGAAATACATTGCATATAATCAAAATAAGGTGGACTAAGTCCGGTGAGAGAGAGTGGGGAGAAGTAGAATGTCATCCCTTCGGTTCGGCCCCCCCCCCCTAATTTATCAAAATTGACATCCACGGCCAGGATGATAGGGGCCCGTGTTTTTTGCGACATGGAGTTCCTCCTTCTGTGAGCGTAAGCTTGACCTCGAAAGGTAACCGTGAGAGGTCAGCACTCTTACCGAAACTAGTTAATGCGCTGGTGAATTTTCACACGCCTGAAAAGTTCAGAGCGACTGGTTTTTTGTGATATCGAGTTCCCTGTCCTTTGACCATGAAGAGTAACCTTGAGGAGTAAGTATTTTTTGGCAGACGCTATATTTGTGGTTTAAAGTATTTTGATATTTGCAAAGTTAGAATCGGTCGTTAATTTCTTGATGATTTGGAGTTCGCCGTTCTTCAACCCAGCCTTTGATTTTAAAGGTCACACGATAACGCAAAATAAGTGTTGTTTTCGACGTTCTTGTGCCATAATTGACCATGTGACATGTTTTCAGGGAAATCGGAACTTGTCGCTGAATGAATCACAAACTTCATAGATATCAACGCGCCACCACTGGATGTGTCACGTCATACCACTGGTCACCAGTACCTTATATCTTATGCGGCCTTGGCAGTAATAGACTCGTCATCTTCATAGCGCAGTAGCTCGCAGTAGGTAGTTGTGGGCCTGTTGTCGAGGTCCGCTTCAAAGGTAAACAAAAAACGCTCCTGGGAGGTGCGTGTTTATCGTCTGTATCGCGCAGTGAACGTACTGGTCAGCTGTCAGCGCTGTATTGGGTCTGCGTGCGAGACCTGTAACAACTGCTGCGCGTAGGAGACCCGAGTGTTTCGCTGTGTGGCTGTGGGGTGGCCTTTGGATTGGGTTTGCGGACCTCTTGGACGTCGCTCAGGGTTAAGTCACTGACTTAAGGTGAGGTCTTGTGGCGCGAATGTACCGTTGTTGCCACAGGCTGCAAAAGCCACACGTTATGTCTCGCGTGTTCCCGTAATAACGACCGTTTTACGCCCCCATGCGACATCCCGTCAACAATTTCAGCGCTTGTACACCGTGTTTTCTCCGAGCTCTCCGGGGTCTGCGCACAGTCTCCATCAATTTCAGATTGGAGAGAGTCAGTGCTCCTGGAAATTAAAATGTTGTGACAGACTGTTTTGCGCTGGGCAAGGCCTTTGCTGGCAATACTAATCCCACCTTTCTAGGGGAGGGGTGAGGGCAATACAACACTTTAGGCAAGTTCAGTTTTTGACTAATTTTCACTTCATTTTATATCAAACGGTGTAGGTGTACTTTCCTACCTAACATTAGAAAAAATCATTGCACACCATTCGTCATGTTTAAGGCGGCACATATCGTACATAATCTCAAAACCGGTAGAATCATGCTCCTACCTTCAAATTTCAATAACTTCGATGGCGGGCTCCCGAGCGCCGCGCGCACTGCACCGTCTGGACTCCCTAGTGCCGTTTCTGCGTTGCTGTTGCGTAAATACAATATTTCTGCTTACCAAGAACTCTACAAAATGTATGGGACCAAGGTAAACCATTCGTCGTGTTTAAGGCGGAACATATGGTAAATAATTTCAAAACAGATAGAATCATGCTCCTACCCTCGAATGTTAATAAATACGATAGCGAGCTCCCGAGCGCCGCACGCACCCCACCGCACTGCCTCGACTCCCAAGTGCCGTTTCCGCGTTGTTGCGAAAGCACAATATTTCTGCTTATCAAGAACCATAAAACATGTATGGGACCAAAGTAACAATAATAAAGCAACCAAAATAGTTTCTTATCGAGTTTAGGTACATTTATGAAACACACAGGCCAGAATTGTCCAGAACATATCCTAAGCTAGCCTAACCTAACCTAACCTAACCTAACTGAGAATAGACCAGAACCTAAGCTAACCTAAGCTAAGCTAACCTGACCTAACCTAACCTAACCTAACCTAACCTAACCTAACCTAACCTAACCTAACCTAACCTAACCTAACCTAACCTAACCTAACCTACCCTAACCTAACCTAACCTAACATAACCTAACCTGAGAATTGACCAGAACCTAAGCTTAGCTAAGCTAACCTACCTTAACCTAACCTAACCTAACCTAACCTAACCTAACCTAACCTAACCTAACCTAACCTAACCTAACCTAACCTAACCTAACCTAACCTAACCTAACCTAACCTAACCTAACCTAACCTAACCTAACCTCTTGATGCTGCTTGATGCGCAGTAATGTTGTGACCCGCGCAGTAATGGCGCCGGTTCGCGGGTGCTGTGTGTGTGCGGCGCTCGGGAGCTCGCCTTCGTAATTATAAAAAATTGACGGTAAGATCATGAATCTACCTGTTTTGTGATCATTTACGATATGTCCTGCCTTAAACACGACGAATGGTTTACCTTGATCCCGTACATTTTATAGAGTTCTTGGTAAGCAGAAATATCGTATTTATTCAACGGCAACGCAGAAACGGCGCTGGGGAGTCCAGGCCGTGCGGTGCGCGCGGCGCTCGGGAGCCCGCCATCGAAGTTATTGAAATTCGAAGGTAGGAGCATGATTCTACCTGTTTTGAGATTATTTACGATATGTCCTGCCTTAAACACGACGAATGGTGTACAATAACGTTAGGTAGGAAAGTACACCCTGACCGTCATCTTAGTTTGTAAATTACTCTACAAACAAACCAACCTGCAAACCATGACAAGGAGGACACAAAATGTTCATGGCTCCCGAATCCTGTGTCTCAATGGGTAGCAGCCCGCCCTATTTGATGCATAATTTAGCCCATCTGGGGCAGCTTCTGTCTTGTACCAGCCTAAGCTTCCCCCCAAAAAACAGTCATCAGGATAATCGCCCCAAGCTAGATTGTATTGCGTTAGACCCAAGGTAATTAACTGTGTATTTGTAGTGATAATTTTTGCAATGTAGTACATTTCTCTTCAGAAATGGTTGTCTCCAAATGTCTGAAAGCTTCCCATTACTCATTTTTGGCCCAAACCCTGTGGCAAGATAACATGAAGATCTGCTACTTGGTTGTGAAAGTTGTTTCACCATTACCTGTGAAGTGGTAGCATGATGTGGATTAGTTGGTATGGCAATAGCACAGTTTTTATTATTGTATTTCCATTCAACACCATGTGAGTACAAGGCTGGGACAGAGTTAATGCCATTTGTGTCCATATTGATGTTAAGGACAGGTGCCCTGCTTCATCCCCCCCTGCAGTCTGTCTGTGGCTTTCTGATGAAACATGAATTTTTCTTTAGATTCATGCTGGGTTTGAAAATTCCGGAATAATGAAGGAAGTTGGTGTGCCAAAGCTGCTGATTTTGACATCATTAAATGGATAATGTATTAAATTCAGAACTCAAATAAAGCTGTGATATGTGCTGCCATGTATGCTTTACATTATTTTCCACACATAATCACTTAAATCATTATCATTGAGTTTAATCATGGACCTGTGTAGTCTAGAAAATCACGGAACTTATATTTAGTTAGCATTAGCACAATAGGACTCTCCCATTTAACAACTCATCCATGCTATGTAAACTGGTTACTTTTGCTTGTTTCAGGCTATCACCTGCTCACCATGGAGCATCGTTGCAAAGCATCAAATCAGCTCGGTGACTTCAAAAGAACATGTGGGGTAAGTAAACACAAATTTTTGGACCTTTTCATGTCAATGAAAAGTTTGTTCTACAAATTACATACAGATAATGAGACTCTCACCTTTAAGCATAGTCATGGTCTTTAGCAGTAAGTGTTACATAAAAATAGACATCTCTGAAGGCATGATATTGAAATTGACATGAATATATCTAATTGGCTTTGCCAAAAGTTCCAGGAAGGCTGCTCTTGCATTGCAAGTAAAAGCTTTTCGGTATCTTCTGTGAAGGTTGTGACTACTTAGAATCGGTCCAGCAAGTAGACATGCAGATTGTTTCATGTATCCACCAGCCCATGTGTGCACCTGTTTGCGACCAGGCGCCAGAGCAATGCACCACGAGTCAAGGTCACCCCATGGACACGAAGACGGCCTCGCTGACGGCTGGCCCTAGAGGCCCGCAGCTCATACAGGATCACAGCTACATCGACGAGATGGCCCACTTCGACCGCGAGCGCATCCCAGAGCGGGTGGTGCACGCCAAGGGAGCTGGTATGTGCCGTCAGATGGTTCTCGGCTCATTATGTCGGTGCCTATAGGCAGGCGCACCAGGTAGTTTAGCTCGTCGCGATATAAAGCACAATTGTTTGTCCCGACATGGCTGTTGTTTGTCAGGAGACGTGCGTGCAGAAGGTGCGCATTTGTTACAACGCTACAGTGATAACAGAGCCTGCCAGATGGGACGAGAGCCGCACGTCTCGCTCCCAGCAGCCTTACACGCGCAGCGCTGCCGCTTCTAGCGAAGTCCACCGGCAGCTGCAGCCAGTCGCCCTGGGTCCAGCCCACACCACTAGTCTCCGCCGGCTGCCGGCAGGTGCGTTCGGCTACTTCGAGGTGACGCACGACATCAGCCGCTACAGCAAGGCGGCCGTGTTTGGCGCCGTCGGCAAGCGCACGCCGGTGGCGGTGCGCTTCTCGACGGTGGGCGGCGAGAGCGGCTCGGCCGACACGGTGCGCGACCCGCGCGGGTTCTCCGTCAAGTTCTACACCGAGCAGGGCAACTGGGACCTGGTCGGCAACAACACGCCCATCTTCTTCATCCGCGACCCGATCCTCTTCCCCAGCTTCATCCACACGCAGAAGCGGAACCCGGCCACCCACCTGAAGGTGAGGCGGCAGCCGGTGCGTCGGCCGGGTCGCCCCGTCGGCCCGCGTCAGGCCCCGTGCATGCGCCCAGTGAACGTAAACAGCCGGCAGTCGGTGCCTGCTGACATGTGGACCCTTACATAACGTGTGGGGTTCGGCGACTGACGGAACCGCCCGCTATCTCCGGTGGCGTCTGACGTCTCACGCGACGCCAGCAGCGCCGTGGGACACCCACGCTGCCCGCCGCCACCACCCAGCGGTGGCAGTCGAACCGCGGCAACCGAAGAAGTGCTAAGTCACCCGCTCTCTCTCTCCATGGATGGTACGCTGTCGGGAAGGAGACAGCCGAAACTCGGGGCCCTCATCGTTGCATACGAGGGGTGCAGGCTCACATGCCGCGCTCGGGCGTGTATGGCCGACGCGGCCTGTCCGGCGCCTTTCGTATAAACACACCGTCCTGTGATGGGGCTGGGGTGGGGCGGGGGGGGGAGGGGGCTGTAGGCACGAAAATGGGTCCCAGTGACGCACAGTTCGCCTGGTGCTATGAACGCAGTGTCGACTCTTTGTACGAAACATGTTTTACCTGATTTATTTGCGTACTTATGCACAGTTGCCGCAGGAAAATTAAAGCACATTTTTGCACCTTAGCCGTTCCAGAATATCAAGCCTGCTGAAGCATAGATCTGGCCGGACACATGTTCTGTCCGATCGTCATTGCCGACCGCTGTTGGAGCCCGCCAGCGGTGACAGATCTCGCGCGGCGGCGCTGCCGGCAGGACCCGGACATGTTCTGGGACTTCATCACGCTCCGGCCCGAGAGCACGCACCAGGTGTCGTTCCTGTTCTCGGACCGTGGCATCCCCGACGGCTACCGCCACATGAACGGCTACGGCTCGCACGCCTTCAAGCTGGTCAACGACAAGTGCCAGGCCGTGTACTGCAAGTTTCACTACAAGGTCAGCAGGCTCTCTGGCCCGGCGTCTCATCCGTCACGGTGTTCGCGCTCTGTGCCAGACCAGCTGCCTGGCAACCGCTGTCTGAGCACCTGACCTTCAGATGCCCTCGGCCACTGACGCGTGACTGACATGTTACGTCTTTGGACGGCATCGCTGGCGCAGAATATCGTTCCGTGTTTGTATATCTGAAGCTCGCTATGAACGGAGCGGGGAGGGGGGGGGGGGAGGGGCATCGTCAGATGAGCGTGACGTTCGGGGAGCGCTCGAGATTGGCTGACGTCAGCGACATATTTTTTCTGGGTGCTGCTAGTTAAAGTTTATTTTTCGTCATATCACTGCGACTTTAGCAGCAGACTTGCGCGTGTCTTGATCTGGGTGCTCCCCAAACCCAGGCTTAGAGTCTTGCGTTGCTTCGATGTTCACGTAAACTCATCGATCTGTTGGTGATTGGTAGCGTGGTCGGGCGTCATATACGTTCTTACTCTCTTATATCGCTATATATGCGATGCACATAATTCGAAGAGAGCATCCCACACAGCAGTGGGCTTTCACGACGCGTCGCTACACTGTTTCTCACATTAGTCAGAAGCCAGCACACTGACGGCCCAACGTTAGCACACACAATCAGAGTAACATTTGTGAAGATTATCAACGCCAGGGATGAATACCAAATGCCTTATCGGGATGAAACCGTGTCTTTATCGCAGACTGGTATGACAGGCGGCGGACAAGCTTACTGGTGGAGATCGGTCTGGTGCTGCTGTCAACATATAGGTAGCTCTGCCAACACCACAGTCCCTGTGATGGCTGCTTAACAGGGTGTCGGCGGCCAACTTGGCTGTGCCATCACCGTCACAATGCCGTGTTGAAAGCCATAACATTCGTTTACATCACACAACATAAATTTACTAATTATATTAATTATAATTCATAGGGAAACCGGTACGGGGTTCGATTCCCCGCGTTGCCCGCCCTTCCTGCCAGCGTGAGAGGCAGGCGACGCCATATAGCCTCACCAGCTGAGTGCGTCGTGAACCCTCAACGACACACACACAATTATAATTAATATTAATATTAATAATTTACATATATAAGTAATATTAATTATAGAAATATACATTAACATAACAAAGGCACAGTGCCAGCTTACGTCCAGTGGACTTCCGGAGGCACTCGTAACCCAGAAGAAGCGGCCGTCGTCGTATCGGCTGAGTTGGCTTAGAAAAGGTGCTGATGCAAGGCCGGTATTGCACTTGACCAGATTGTCGCCTTCAAGGACTGGCCATGGTATAGCTCTTCACTGCAGTGACGGCTGCTCCGTTGATAAACAATTAGTCTAGGCATAAAAAGCAATAGTATACCGCATCCCCTTAATAATCAAGCATATCCCAAGCTACCTGAGCATCCTATGTCATAATAAATATAGACATGCTGAGTTCTTTACCCCAGCACTATGTGGCAAGCTCCCCAGCGGGGCGGCGGGTTAGCCGCTGCGTCCCTCCAACCCTCGTCGGTCAGCGCGGGCGCCGGCCGTCGCCCTCCCCCGCGCCCCCGCCGGTACCTGCGGCTGGTCCTGGAGCGACGGCTGTGTGGTGGTCGCCGGCAGACGGACCAGAAGATCAAGTGCCTGCCGGTGGAGCGGGCGGCCGAACTGTCCGGTGCCAACCCCGACTACGGCATCAAGGAGCTCTACAACGCCATCGCCGATGGCAACTTCCCCACTTGGAGCTTCTTCGTGCAGATCATGACGTTTGAGGAGGCGGAAGCGTCGCCTTTCAACCCGTTCGATGTTACCAAGGTATCTCGATAGCATCTCGGCCCCCATTGCGTTGGTTTACGTGGTGTGTTGCTCTACGCTTCTGGGTCTGCATTCTGGGCTGTGATGCTTTCAGTGCTGCTATCACACGAGCTTCGTTGTGATAGCTGGTATGTGATGTCTGTTATTTTTGACTATGCAGTTTTACAACAGCATGACTTGGTACGCCGTTGAATCACCATCGTATTTTCGACTAAGCAAAATGCCAATCCACAGGTCTGGCCGCACGGCGACTACCCGCTGATCCCCGTCGGCAAGCTGGTGCTCAACAGGAACCCCAAGAACTACTTCGCCGAGGTGGAGCAGCTGGCCTTCTGTCCGGCCAACATGCCGCCGGGTATCGAGGCCAGCCCGGACAAGATGCTGCAGGTACGTCTGAGCTCGCGCCTGGCCCGGCGCCGGCACTGCAGCCGCCTGACAGCCGGCCTCGCCGCCGCCCGGGCCTCTGCGGAGGCACGGCCGGCGGCGGCGTCTGTGCCGGCTGTCGCGCGGCCGGTCGCGGTCTGTCGCTCGCCCGCAGCCGCGCGGTACGAGCCCACCCGGTCATGATCTGGCCCGGTATCAGCGCCCGCTATCAGTGCTCGCTCGGGGCCCGCCGTCGCTGCCCGGCGGTGCAGCTGCGGCCTCACCTGGGCTGAGCCAGTACGGCCGATTAGGGTGACGCGCGTGCCAAGCCCTATCGCCGCAGAGTTCCAATTTACTGGAGGAAATTGGCTGACAAAGATGGAGTCTACATTCCTGTGAAGGCTGTGGAAATTCAACGAAGCGCGCGGAATGCTATGAGATTGTCGGGCTGATGTGGTTGGTCTCCTGAAATAGAGGTGCCCTGAATGGTCCTGCCGACTGGTGAGACTGGCGACAGGACTGGCTACGGAGGCGCCTCACGGGCGCAGTCAGAACCAACCTGGCACACTCCAACTGGCGTGCCAAGATCCCAAGTGTTAATCTCAGATCTCACAAGATCCTTGGATGGCGTAATCTTGAGCCCGTGTGCTGGAATGCGCTGTTGGTATCCGGGTACCCGCCTCCTGCAGAGGCTTGCCTGACACGCCTGCGACGCGGGCGGCCCGCCCCTGTCCTCTGAATCGGCTCAGCCTCGACCGCAGCTCCCACCGCGCTGTTCCCGCTCTCGGCGTCGCCGCCGTCCCTCTGCGCCGGCTTCGAGCGCCGCCTCGCGCCTGGCCTGAGCGCCACTGCTGCCCCGCTGCGCTCGCGCTGACCGCTGGTCCCAATGCGCCAGGGTCGCCTGTTCTCTTACAACGACACGCACCGGCACCGGCTGGGGCCCAACTACCTGTCCATCCCGGTCAACTGCCCGTACCGCGTGCGCGTCAAGAACTACCAGCGCGACGGACCCATGTGCATGGACAACCAGGACGGGGCGCCCAACTACTTCCCCAACAGCTTCAGGTGAGATCCCGAATCTCACGCATCCCGTCAGCAGCAATCCTGACTCTTACGCTCTCAAGGTAGAAAATGAGCTGCTGTTTTTCATACATGTTTTTGTGTGTTTTCATACATACCTTCGTTGGTTTGATTTTGTCACGGTGGCTTTCGCGTTGATTCGTTCGCCCTGTTTTCTCAGAGTAGGTCATTGATTTTTACCGTATGGGTCTCGCGATGAATCCGAGAAGCAATATCAATCTTCCGTATTTCATTGCCTTATCCGAATTTCTGTTCATATCATGTGTGGCTTTTACATCTCAAATGTAACGCGCTGTGACAGGTGCAGCAAAGGTATCCTAAGGTGTGATGTCATACATGGCGCCTTACAAGGTGTGATGTCCTACTTGGCGGCCCACAAGGTGTGATGTCCTTTAGTTGTGATGAGCTCAGGCAGATCTGCCCGCCGCTACGGTTCGCCCATGTCCACATCTGGGCCCGGCCCGATACCGCGTGTGCGGTCGTCCCATCCGCCCCGCGCTCGCCGGCGCCCTGACGCTCCGCCCGACCCCTGCGTCGCTGCGGTCCGCCCATGTCCACATCTGGACCCGGCCCGATACCTCGTGTGCGGTCGTCCCGTCCGCCCCGCGCCCGCCGGCGCCCTGACGCTCCGCCCGACCCCTGCGTCGCAGCGGTCCTGTGGAGGACACACAGCACGCGTGCAGCTCGTTCCCGGCCTCCGGAGATGTACGCCGGTACGAGACGGGCCACGACGACAACTTCTCCCAGGTAACCGGCTCACCACGGCGTCATGTGTTTTCGGCGGGCGTGACTTGATTTGGCGGGATGTTAGCTGCTCGGATTAGACGCCAGCTGATCTGATGGGACTTGAGCTGCCGTGACGGGCCGTGAGCTGCCGTGACGGGGCGTGAGCTGCCGTGACGGGGCGTGAGCTGCCATGACGGGGCGTGAGCTGCCGTGACGGGATGTGAGCTGCCGTGACGGGGCGTGAGCTGCCATGACGGACCGTGAGCTGCTGTGACAGGGCGTGAGCTGCCATGACGGGGCGTGAGCTGCCATGACGGGACGTGAGCTGCCGTGATGAGGCGTGAACTGCCATGACGGGGCGTGAGCTGCCGGGACGGGGCGTGAGCCACCGTGACGAGACTTGAGCTGCTGTGATGAGGCGTGAACTGCCGTGACGGGCCATGAGCTGCCGCAAAGGGAGTGATCAGGACATACTGGCAAAACTGTTTCGGCTTAAAACGCCTCCTATTGGCGATGTAGAATCATGAAAGGAAAATCAGGCGCTGAAGCAAATCGCCGGCTCCAAACAAACGGGAGTAATATTGTAGATTGTAGAAAAGCATACCTGCGGCGTAACATACTCCATCCCTCATACACGCATTCACGTTTGCCACCACTATTTTTCATTTGTTACGTTGAATGCTTCCAGATTGGGTAATGCTTCAGGTTAAAGGTTTAAAACCTTTGGTATAATGGCCAGAGCGAGTGTGATCTTATTGTCTTCCAGCGTACCGCATGTCACTAGTTGTCTATTTAAAGCTAGCTATTTTTGTCACCTGAGGATTCTTCAAGTTTAGCGTGCAGCCTGCCTAACATCCTTGTGTGATGGAGTGTGCCTTTCGTCCTGACACCTCTCATGATTGCTAGTGGGGAAGGCTCCTAAAACAGTAGCTATACTGGGAAAGCTAAAGCTAGCTAAAAGCTAGCTAGCTAAGCTAAAGCTAGCTAAGCTAGCTAGCTAAGCTAAGCTAGCTAGCTAAAGCTAGCTAAGCTAAAACTGGGAAAGCTATACCGCTCCATTAGTGGCGCCTTTCGTCCTGACACCTCTCATGATTGCTAGTGGGGAGGGGTGCTAAAACAGTAGGCTGGGAAGGCTATATTGCTCCAATAGTGGTGCCTTTCGTCCTGACACCTCTCATTATCGCTAGTGGGAAAGGCTGCTAAAACATGAGGCTGGGAGAGCTATCCTGCTCCATTAGTAGTGCCTTTCGTCCTGGCACCTCTCATGATTGCTAGTGGGGAAAGCTGCTAAAACATTGGGCTGGGAAAGCTATACCGCTCCATTAGTGGCGCACTCCACTGGGTGGCGCCCAGCAGTGACCAAGCCGTACCTGATGTTGGACGTGCAGCGATCGGCAGTTCGGGAGGCGGATGTGGCCGTTTCGGGTGGCATGTTCGACGGCGCTAGAGTCGCGCCAGAGTCGTGCGGAACACTTCAGGACGTAGGTCGCTTTTGAACAGCACTTTGAAAGAAGTACCAGTATTTGCATGGGGTGTACAACAAACTGGAAGCTGAATTGATTTATGAAAAAAAGAAATTGTGATGGGCGGCAGGGCTTTAACCCATTGCGGCTAGAGCTCAGCCAGGTTACAGTTAAGCAACCGTTGACATATGCTTTGTCTTTTTAGACCCAGGCTCGTCTGTATTTGACGTAAACGGCCAGGGCCTGGCATTGCTCGAGCCGTTTTCATTACGCAATTCGTAGGTTGTGCTTCCAAAGGCAAGTGGGCCGTAGCACTGATGCGAACCCACCGGTTCCGCGTTAGAATGCTTCCAAAAATAATAGTGGTTCTGATGCGCTTTTGGACAGTGCCTCAGCCTCGTTGCACAGTGCTCCAGCCGCGCTGGAGAGTTCCTCAGCTGCGCTGGATAGTTCCTCAGTCGCGCTGGATCGTGCCCGCCTGGTCAGCCGCGCTGGGCAGTTGCTCAGCCTCACTGGACAGTTCCTCAGCCGCGCCGGACAGTTCCTCAGCCGCGCTGGACCATACCCGCCTGGTCAGCCGCGCCCCATGCGTGTCCCCGCATGCTCCGTGATGACCGGGCGCGCTTTCCAGGTGACCATCTTCTGGAACAAGGTGCTGAACGAGGCGGAGAGGGAGCGCCTGGTCAACAACATCGCCGGCCACCTGAAGGACGCACAGATGTTCCTCCAGGTGAGCTGAGCGCGGCAGCGGACCGAGCCGGGCGTGCCGAGGGCGTACTGGATGGCCGACGAAATCACATGCACAGATATGTTTCATGTGGGCGTAAGCTGGCAAATACGCTTTGCATGACTGACAACAGCGTATTGCTTCAAGGTGCTCATTTTTTTTTCTTAGCACTTGAGGCTACGACACACAAAAGCAAGCGATGTAAACCATGCAGACAGCTGACTTTGTAACGTGTGTGATGTTCTGTGTTACGAATGCTTACGTTCACTGGCCATAAGTGCTATTTTGTTGCATGACGCTAGATGATTTTTTTTCTTGAAATCTTTGCCACGAGCAATCATTCTGCACGGGGTGCCGGTAGTGGAGTGGTTAGCGCGTCTGCGTTAACCTCTGCGCGTCTGGAATGCCAGAGGTACAGGGTTCGATTCCCCGCGATGCCCGCCCTTCCTGCCAGGGTGAGGGGAAGGCGATGCCATGTAGCATCAGCAGGTGGACGCGTCGTGAAGCCGTAATGACAACGACAATAATCACCGCTGCACCTGTCAGCATTAATTAGGCTCCATGGCGCAACTACGCCTTATAGCTCGCTGTGCGCAAAACGTCGTAACGCTTACCTTCGTGTGGGAAAAAAGCATGCTGACAAATTTCGCATTGCAAAACGTCAGTAGGGCACTGGCAGTGCATTGGTTAAGCTGCGCATCTGGGAAAACAGATGCAGAACATGGTGCCCGCCCTTCCTGCCAGGGTGAGAAAAAGCTTACTGCAAACACTGCGTGCAGCTCAGCCGTTACCTGCCACGGCCTGGGCGACACTGCCGCAACGCCAGCGACCACAGCAGCTGCATGGGTCGATAATCTAACCCCTTTAAGATGGGCGAGTGGTGGTGGAAACACGGAGCCGGCCTATCCACATTCTGCCCAAGAATGCGCAATGGAGACCACGGCGTTGGAGCAGGCGCATGCATTCTGATCGAGCTTTACGTCTCGTTTCCAATGCATGGTCAACCCGGCGGTTGCGGGTCCCTTTCCACGCGGCACAGCACTACGCAGTCTGTACGAGAAGTCATTCAGTGGGAGAACAACGCGCAGTCGTGCTATATGAATAAATGTTTTTACAAAGAAGTGCGGCTCGAAAAATTGCGTGAGCAGGAAAATTTGACTCGAAGGCAAGGGCCTCATGTTACATCGTCCGAATAAATGAGGCCCAGGAGAAATGCGTGTATGAATAAGTGGAAAACAAATGTCAAGTTTTCTGATGAAAACGGTACGGCAGATTGCATGTACCAAGATGTGATACAAATAAATGTTTATGAAAATAATTGCGTATGTGAAGCTTTGCGCACACGAAGCGCTGTAGACACGTGGTTTGATACCTAAGAATGCCTGCTCGGAATGAAATGCGATTCGGACACGTGCGATGCGAAGCTCTGCCCGGTCATGTTATAACCGTTGCCCTAAGAGGTGGGGGGGGGGGGGGGGGGGGGGGAGAGGGAAGGAGGGTTCTTTTGAAAGACTCGCAAGTTTTCCAGAATAACCTGTGGATGGCTTTGAGCGCGGTGTCGAAATGTTGGTTACCTGTATGAACATAATTTTGTACACAGGTCGAAGAAATTTCGTCTCTCTGGTCTCCACGGTGCATGTTCGGTGACCTCTGTATCGCGGTCATTTTAGTTCTTCTTCAACCCGAAGTGATAAGCATCGCCCAATTCTCGCCGTAAACACACTTCAGAAAGGTTTTCTAGAATCATCTTACTTTTATAACTCGGAAGTGCATTACTACCCTTTTGCTGACTGTTGGAAGTTCAGATCATTCTGGTCAAAATACATAAAGCTTCAACATTTGTGAACAAATTGAGCCATTTGGAGTCGTTTCGACGTGCGAGTGTTAAACCTTAATTATATGTATATATATATATATATATATATATATATATATGTTTTATTTATATATATTTATTTATATATTTATATATATATCTGTTTTATGTTATTATTTATTTACATATATATATATATATATATATATATATATATTATGTATATATATATATATAGCTGTTTTATGTTATTATTTATTGTTTATATTATATATATATTATATATAATATATGTCATATATATATATATATATATATCAAGGCTTTGGAAGTCCTTCGAACCCAGCTTTCCTCATCAATAAGACTTTTTGACAGTTGATGTAGCTGTCGGCCAATGCAACAAGCGCTCTCAGAGCCCTTTTACGTGATATGACATGTTCAGGTCACATGCGTCGACATCCACTGGTGCAATGATAATTTTTTCTCAAGATCTATTCAACGCCGTCTCGGAAAGATTTGCCTGACCGTGCTTAGTTCTTGACGTGATGGTAGGTCTATAAAGTGCCAAATTGACCCATTTGAAAGGATTTGACCTGGCAAAGGTTACATTCCGTATTGGTGAGGCACGTCTGTCTGATGCCGTTTGACGAACGAAGGGCGTTTTTTTCCTTGAAGGGCGGTTTCGGCGTGACTCTGGTATTCAAGATCTTACGAGCCTGTGATCTGGTTAGCCTGAGGACCTCCCCGGAGGGTAGACCTGAAAAGACTCCGCAGGGGACCGTAGGGCGAGGGCTAACCAACTTGGAAACGCTCGTCGGTTATGCGCGTTGGGGACCGGGTGTACGGTAAACGTTCGCGCGGGTAGTGGTGTAATTATACTTGTGGAATCCTACCCTAGTTCCGATGCTCGATGTTTCTGATTGCCGGTTGCGTCGCGGACAGTCTAGCGGGCGAGTGTTAGTGGTGAACTATTGGATGGGTAGGTCCAAGGCTTCTGTGTCGTGGCTTCTGTGAACTCCAGCTCATGAGCAGCCGCCACCACTGGTCCCATAAGCCACACACAGCCACTGAAATTACGTAACCAAAATATATGACCTTAGTGTAGAAAGGACAACGTTTATGCTTTGCGTGTGATATTGACAATGCCTACCCAGCTTGGCTTGTCGTAGCTTGCAGGATGCACAGCCACTTCGCTGAGATGGATGCTTCACGCAACGATCGAAATGAAAGGATCCCATGTACAAGCAACAAAGTTGCAAGGCTGCGTATTTCTAAATCGTGCTATTTAAGCACAGGGGTGTAATCGGCCCGAGTTGGTACAGGTTTCATTTGTGAGTGTTTTGGCTGGTTAGTGCCACGTCCCTTGGCTCGTCTGGTAGGATATATGTCACATGATCCTTGCCTCATCTTGCCTTACCTGATCCCTCACCTGGCCGAAGGCCCTGGCCGTGGCGGCCAGGGCCTTCGTTTCAAATTGGTCTAAAAGTATTATCGCCAGAGGAAGAGCGCATGGGTTCCCCATTGCCTTTCCCAATTTTTGTCAGTACAACCCATCTCCGCACGAGAGAAGATTGTCCTGGAGACCCAGTCCTAAAAGACCGCGGATATCCTCTTTGATATACCTAGAGCATCAATTTCATGGAAATGTTTGTCCACCTTAGCTTCCATGGCAGGATAGCCTCATTGACTTCTATGTTGCCATATAAACTGGCATCTGCAGTAAAGAAAATGCGGCCCTCTGGTCCTTGCCTCATCTGGCAGTGCGCATCGGCCATCATATTCACCGACACGCCAGCTCGCGTTCCAGAGACCTATGTGGCCCTCTGGTCCTTGCCTCATCTGGCAGCGCACATCGGCCATCATATTCAGCGACACGCCAGCTCGCGTTCCAGAGACCAATGTGGCTCTCTGGTCCTTGCCTCATCCGGCAGCGCGTATCGGCCATCATATTCACCGACACGCCTGCTCGCGTTCCAGAGACCAATGTGGCCCTCTGGTTCTTGCCTCATCTGGCAGCGCGCATCGGCCGTCATATTCACCGACACGCCAGCTCGCGTTCCAGAGACCAATGTGGCTCTCTGGTCCTTGCCTCATCTGGCAGCGCGCATCGGCCGTCATATTCACCGACACGCCAGCTCGCGTTCCAGAGACCGTGCTTTGTGACTCGTCGCCGACTGTCAGGTGGCAACTGGCCCAGATAGTCGGGTTGGTACTAGCCGTGCGTTGGGATACACATGCCACCTAAAACGTGGTGAGAAAGCATTTCGTTCATCATTCTAGTGAAAGCTGGTTAAATATTACCGTCTGAAAATCTTACCTACGAAACGTTGTGATGTTTAATTTTGTTTGGCTATTCTGATAAGGATGTGTTGAAGAAACTTGTACCCCGCAAGGATGCTTATGCGGTGGTGTGTAAAAGCGCGGGGGTTAGTGGCCTTGTGCGAAATGAGATTTAGATCTGATGAATAATGATGAACACGATGGACGAGGTTGTACGCATACGAATCTGACTGTCACATTCCCGCAGCTTGTTTTCATCATAGAGTCATCTCAGGCAGGCATCACGCAGGCATCATTTTGATAGTGTTGCGTAATCTGTAGGTGGGGGGGGGAGGGGGGATAGGGGCTGAGCTCTTTCTGATTTGTCCCTGGGTTTCGGTTATTTTGATTTGCGTTACTCATGTCAAAATTTTATTTTAAAACCTTGGCCGGTTCCAAAATGGTTCCCATGTTTAGAAACAGTTTCCCATTTGAAGCAGATATATATATATATATATATATATATATATATATATATATATATATATTGCTCGTAAAGTCACAGCTTTGTGCAGTCAGCGTGGGGGGCTCAGTTCCCCCGAAATTACAAAAAGGCACCCCTGATCACAGGGATTTCCCGTTTTACACAAACTAAGCGAGAAAAGGGCCGGACCTGCCAGAATCGTTCCTTAGTTCAGACGGGACCTTCAAATCCCATGGGCCAGGCACTGCTCTGCGTGGCCAGTGCCAACACCGGTGAGAGCGAACTGGTTGACATCGACGCTGGCTCCTCTCCGGGTATCGTACCCCGCGTAAAATTTTCTGGAGGTGACTCACATTCCTTTCTATTCTGTCCTGTCGTCCAAATTGCTATCCGGACCAAATACTTCACGGACTTCAGGTTCACCTCGTTACAACTTCAGACCCTGCCCAATTACGGCGTCATTATCTGCCACCGCTGCGCCGTACACGCCTCACTCTCTGGACGTCCGCATCGGCATGCGTCGTCCGGGGAGGGGGGAACTGCTTGTGTCCGGCCACTCCCCCCCCCCTCCGAAGCACGCGCGCGCGCGCGGCGGCGGCGGCGGCGGCGGCGGCTGAGGGCACTGAGGTCAGGCAGCGGGGTGGGGACGGCGGTGGACGTGCGCCGCACCGGTCAGGGATTAACCGGCTCCTCGCCAATCGCAGGGCCTCGCCGGAGGCGTATTGATCGCAGCGTCCATACGCCGCCGCTGACGGTCAAAAGACCGGCCGTCAATGACTTCTGAACGGAAGCGACGCGTTTTGAGCGATGTATCGGGGTGCTGTGGAGGAGCCAGGGCCAAGACGCCACTCGGAGCTAGGGCCGGAGCGGTCCGCCCGGTGTGGACGACCGCGGGGAGGCGTTCGTGCAGGGCATAAGTCGCAGGCGGGACGCGGCGGGATGACCTGCCGTCAGAATGATGCGTGTTATGCGGAGGTACGTGACTCCAGCCATCCACTTTGTCAGAGTACGGGGAATTTCCCCACGGACATGCATTTGGCTATCAGGGCCTTCCGCGCAGCGGGTGGCGACCACGGCGTCGTTCTGTCGGATGAGCTAGCACCCGAACTGTCTTCGGTCGGGGCGCAGTTGAGCTGTGCAGGGGGGGGGGGGGGGCGTTGTACGAGGAAAACGCGGAGTTGACGGGACACTGAGCGCCGCCGCCCGAGCTGCGTGTGGCGGCCGCCTGCGGAGGATCCGTCGATTGGTGGGCGACGCCGCCAGTCGCTGGCATTGCTATTAGAGTCGTCACATGCCGTGTCATTCGAGAGCTGTCGGTCTCTAATGACACGGCGGGGGTCGGCTGCCGGTCCGTCGTGACGCACCTGTCCGTGCCGGGACGCGGCGACCGAGCGAAGGTGACAGGCCGTGTCTGCAGCTGGCCGGCCGGCCCCGTCAGCCAGCGCCGCTGTCTCGATCGAGTATCGGCGGCGGGCGCGCTCTTGTGCCGCAGCGGCGGCCGGCCGGCGCGAGTGGACCAGTCGATCCGGTCAATAACAGACCCGACCGCTTCTGAACGTCGACCCCCGGCCCGTGTTGCAGCAACGCGCGGTGAAGAACTTCAGCCAGGCGCACCCGGAGTACGGCCGGCGCGTGCGGGACGCGCTGATCCGCCTGCAGGGTCCGTCGGCCGCCCAGCACCTCTCCAACCTGTGAGCGGGCGCCGCCGGGTCAGCGGACCGTGGCCCGGCCGCCGCGCAGGTGGCGCCCGCAGCTGCCGGCACCGCGGGGCATGGCCCCACCGTGGGGTATGTGCTAACGGACTGGGGATACTGGAAACGACGCCGCGGCACGGAGGCTGCTGCATGCGGGCTCTGGGTCATGAGGGTCTCTGTAACACGGTTCCGGTCACTGGGTTTCAGTGTAGCGTTAGGGGAACGGTGGTGTCGCAGCCAAGGGTACGGCCTTATTTGGCCAGCACTATGATATTGTAGCGATTCTAGCGCAGCGATTCGCGACGTGTCTGCTTACAAATGTGCATTTAAGGGTGCGGTGATTATTCGCAATGAGTTTTGAAGAAATGTCAGCGATGTGGTTAAGGTGATTCAAAACACGTGTTTCAGCGTTATACATGCAGTTGTCCCTCGGGAAACCCGCTCGCGCTGCAGTCATGAATGGCCTGTTCATTCAACCCCGTGGGGTCAGGCCATTCACCACTATTTTTGCGTATATCTTGCCAGTCCATCTTACCAGGAATGTCAGACGGCACTCGTCACGCGGGAGCACGCTGTGCCGTAACCCGAGCCACGGAAGTGTGCCACACTGGAATGCGAGCTGCGCCTGTCTCTTCGGCGAATCACCGCTGCTGTGCTTCGAGCCCTGCGCGCTGGAGCTGGCTCGCGCGACCGCCCAGTGGCTCCGCCGGGCGGCGGGACGCCGGACGGTCCCGTTGTGGTGGAGATGCCCCGGGGATGCCGCCGCTTCCACGCTCAATTTCGTCTGATTAATATAGCTGTTGTGGATGGACGCCTTGTTTTGCAGTTGGTGCGATATCACGGTGCGGACTCTAAATGTGTGTGGTGGCCGATGAATCAGTCCATAAAAACGTGTTCGTGAGCGCATCATGCACCCGTATGCACAGTCTTCACGCCCGTCATCGCTAAGGCACTTCCGTTTGCCGGTCGATAAGGTCCCGCTTGTAAATATTTGTAAATGCAGCATTCATTCGCAAATACCTGCGTTCCGTCACACGGCCTTGGACGTTCACATGTTAGGTACCGTCGCGCTTGTGGCGAAAGCAATGGCTTACACAATGCGAACAACACACGTTGCTCTGGTCCTGCGAGGCACAGCAGCAACAGCTGACACGAGTTGGATGATCAGCTGTTGCTGAGTTCTGTCAGCTCAATGTCGCGTCCAGATATTACACGCTGACCATTTCCCCGTGATTGACCAGGAGATTTGTCTTCAACTGGAGCGTTAAAAACCGAGAGTTTCGCGTGACTTCTTTTCATGCAGCTCTTGAAGGCAGCCATCGGCATAAGCGGCCAGAACACATGTGTTACGCAGCCAGCGGCACTGGCTACTGCGTCATACCAGCATGTCCGCGGCCCGCCGTCAGAGATCAGAGCTAATGCTGGCGTCGGCATCATATCGACCGGCCAGCGATGAAGCGCGTGACCGCGAGGTATCGGGGCCGCCCGCACCGCCGCCCGCACCCTCCCCCGCCCGCCGCCGCCGACCGCCGCCAGCAACAGGTGACTCCGATCCGGGCACGTGACACGCGCGGCGACGCACACAGCCAGCCGGCCTTGGGCGCGGCGGCCGCGACGGGGCCGCGTCGCGGCAGCGGACGGTCCGCCCGCTCGTGCCGCGGCGGTCTCCATGCGTGCGGTGCGGCATCCTTGGGAGGACGAGGACGGGTTTAGAGCTGTGGCTAGAGCCGAAAGGATCACAGGAAAGTCTGTGAGCTGCGGGACCGGAAATGACGGTGCGAGGGGGTCCAGTGCACGGAAAGTGTGCTGCTAATGATGTAATGCATGATAAAAGACATGATATGAATTATTTGAATACATATTGATATTGCATCTAAATAAGTGGATGTATGTTCGGAGTATTCGTGCATCAGTGGGTATGCTAGGAGTTGCGTTCTTCATGTTAACGGAGTTATCCACCTTGGGAATGTCGTTAAAATCGGGTTTGACTTAGAACACATTTAATGAGATTATTGTGTTAATCCTGCTGTCTGATGAGGGCTTAGCCAGATCATTGCTGACGGGACCGCAATGTTAAATCGAGAACCGAGAACATTAGGCGACAACATGGGTGGGACAACATGGGATCAAAGGCTTCTACCAAACATCCCCGGCTGGCGGCCTCCTGCTGCGGAATGGTCTCCACCATCTGGTTGCTTGGCGGCCAGGAAGAGGGGGGGGGGGGGGGCAACCGTTTGCTCTGTAAGATGTAAACCGTTCACGATGATCATCGGGCGTGCTCTCATCCAAACCAAGCATTTTATCGATAGAACTAAGCTTGAACATGTGTGTAAAAACAGGGACCTTGGCGTATCGCTGGATACCAAACTAACCTTTGCTGCACGTGCATCTGACATGGTCTGTAGGGACACTTGAGCACTTGGTCTTCTTACTCAGTCCTTCCTCGTCTGTACCAGCAGGCCGAACTTCAACCGAGGCGCAGTAATGGCCGCGTATTTTGCAAGCGTGCGACCGGTTTTAGAATATTGTAGCGTGGTCTTAACGGGGCGGCCAGCTCCCAAGCAGCGCGGGCCGGCTGAGTGCAGCACAAGTCCCCTATTTGTGTACTTACACAATCTCCGGGCAGACTGCTCCTCCTTACGACAGCCTTCTGCTCCATTTCGAAATTATATCCCTAGCAGCACGAGTGCAGAGGCCAGCTCGATTTACCCTTTCTAAGAAACATCTTAAGGTTAACAGTGCTCTCAAATCTTGCTCAGCTGTTTCTCCTTGGTTTCGCTGCCTCGATCGACCCGCGCCCGAACTCTGCTCGAGGTACTTAACGCGCGTGTACAGAGAGCACAGAGCGGTCCGTTTTGCAGACTGCCCAGCGTTGTTTGGTGTCAAAAAGTGTTGCTGCGAAGCAAGCAAAACTTTTGTAACTAGCACGCTAGCGCGAGTACCATTCATGACAGCTTTGCCATTTTGTAGAGTTAAGGTGATCAGGTATGCTTTCACTCTGTGCATCTTCGCTTAGTTTTGAGACACGTCACCCTTTACGTAAGTTCATACTAACCTGTGCTGTGTATTTATTGCATTTTATTTGAACGAGTTTGCCTCCTAGGGAGCGCTGCTCTGTTGTCGATAAAATAAAATCAACAAATAAAAAACAAATACTGCACCATGAGACTTCTGGTCTCAACAAATCCCACGAACCCCCAACCACGAAATCCCAACCCAACCCAACCTCCAACCACGAACGAACTGTTTTTCATCCTTTTGACCCTTTGATGATGAAGTGACCCTTTTTGTCACCTTAGCGCTTTGTTTTCTGACCAAGTGCTATTGACTAAAACTTTGCCTAGCTGGAATGAAAAGGTGTTATCGATCAGGAGATACTACAAAACTTTCTACGCATTTAATTCATTTTGGGGATAGGCCCGCTTCTTGTCCCATCCCCCCCCCAAATCATTTTGACTTGAGCAGGTACACGGTTGCCGCCTATGTCATTCATATCACATATTTTTGTGAAGAAATTTCTCTTTGCATCGGAATAAATCAGTAAAGTGTCAGTCTTGACACGGGCCCAGTGATAGGTGACTGGAACCCGATGGTAGTTCATTTTGACGTCGCATTGTGGAGTGCGTTGGTCCGAAACCCGAAGGGCAAAGTGGCACCGTTCTAAATGTTTTAAACTTAGTTTAATGTTTAAATGTTTAAAATGTTTAAAACTTAATCACTCACTTACCCACTCTGTTCTCTCTCTCTCTCTCTCTCTCTCTCATCTCTCTCTCTCTCTCTATCTCTCTCTCTCTCTCTCTCTCTCTCTCTCTCTCTCTCTCTCTCTCTCTCTCTCTCTCTCTCTCTCTCTCTTATCCTCTTCTCTCTCTCTCTCTCTCTCGCTCTCTCTCTCTCTCTCTCTCTCTCTCTCTCTATCTCCTCTCTCTCTCTCTCTCTCTCTCTCTCTCTCTCTCTCTCTCTCTCTCTCTCTCTCTCTCTCTCTCTCTCTCTCTCTTCTCTCTCTCTCTCTCTCTCCTCTCTCTCTATCTCTCTCTCTCTCTCTCTCTCTTCTCTCTCTCTCTCTCTCTCTCTCTCTCTCTCTCTCTCTCTCTCTCTCTCTCTCTCTCTCTCTCTCTCTCCGGGATATCATGTTGCCGGAGGGTCGCAGTTCCCGCGACTTGAGGCAGAACACGCAACCTCTGTATTCGAGGAGATAGCACTGAACCACAGCACCAGTCTGGCTGCGGCGACGTCCGTCGAGTGGCAGGGCTGGCAGGCATATGGCACGGGAAGCCATGTTTTTTTGGTGACAAGGAAGTCGTCTTGGTGCTGTAGGCAGCCGACCCTTTCGGCTAGCTATAGTATAACGTTCAGAACTGTAATAGGCCTGAAATTACAAAGTTGAAGTTCTTGATTAGATTAATGAGCTTTTGCCGTAGTGGTTGATGTTTATTTCTCCTAGCACGGTGCCATCAGCAGTTTGTAGGTTGGTTAGGTTGGGTTCGACCCGAGCTGTCGGTAAACACCCACTCATGAACGGGAGCGATGCGCCACAGCTCCATAATATCGCTCGACGCAATATGTGATGAGCGTAGAGGAAGTTGAACATGAAGCGGAAGAACAGCTTGATGGGCGCTCGTAGTTCAGGAAGAGCTGCTGACCGTGCCAGCTCATGCATAGCGCCCTGCTCTGCTTGTAGTCATTGGTCAAGGCGGGGGGGGGGGGGTTGAGGGGATCCCTGCGGCACGGGTGCACGGCGGGTTTATCTGTCACGCGGTAGCCGACTAATGGGAAGTGTAAAACGTCTCGCCAGACTCAACACACGGCGTTTGGTCGTAGCGAAAGATTGTGGTGGCATGCCTGAGGTTTTCCGCATGTTCTGAGTCAACGTTCGATGAAGGCCTCAGCACGTGCCCGGGTCCGACGCGATCGCAGCTGCTTCCGAAGCGAGTCGCGGACCTCTGCTGGGCGACGCAGGTCTGCGAACGGTCCCTCCTCCGCACTGAGTTTTGAGCTGGGTCCGGGGTCCGCTCTCGGGTGCTGCTGATAGTGCCGGGGTCCTCTCTCGGGTACTGCTGATAGTGCCGGGGTCCTCTCTCGGATGCTGCTGATAGTGCCGGGGTCCTCTCTCGGGTGCGGCCGATAGTGAGTCAGTTGAGCTACTGACGCCGAGAAGGCATTTTGTTGAGCGCACAGCTGGCCTCCAGCGCTGAGGGCCGAGTGCGGAAAAACACCGAGCGGAGGCGGGGTCCTCGTTGCCCGTTTAAGGGTCCCAAAGCGCACATTTCCGATACCAGAATATCCAGGCTTAGGCGAGGGATCTATGAGGGACGACTCCGCTGACGGAATGCGCGGATAAAACCTGCTCAAGTCAGTGTTTTTGGTCGATAGCTTCTGATATTGTTATTTGTTATATGATGTCTTTCATTGACCATGAAGTGTTTCATGTTATATGAAGTTTTTCATTGTGCCTGAGTAAATGGGACATGATCTTATCATAACCGAGTGCTGGTATTCACAGGTGCGAAGAACTGAGCCCATCGATCGCTGTTTCATCTTTGCATATTTGTTCAGCATTTATCAACGCATTGCATGACAACGCCACCATATTCAACTCTGCGCAAAAGCTGTCACCGTTACAGGAATCATGCCAATGGCATGAGGTCCAAACGGCGAAGCATCCCATACATACATTTGCATGCTTCAGCGCGCACATTCGTACGTTCCAACGCGCACGCGATAGCGCGCATATGCACATCGACGTACACATATAAAACTTGTATGACATTGCTCACTGCCAGTGCCAAATCAGTTGACCAAGTTTGAGTCAGG